GGGCGGCGCGGCCGGGGGGGGTCGGGGGCGGGGCGGCCGCCGCGGCCAAGGGCTCACCGGTGGCGAGGTGGGGGGCAGAGATGACGGTGCTCCCGTCTCTGCACCGCTTAAAATCCCTTGCAGACGCCTGTTTCTCCCACCAGCTCTGCCCAGGCACTTTCCTCCTCTAACGCCAGGCTCTCCTCCTCCCCCCGACAGGGTGTTCTTCAGGCGACACTACCCCTTGGCTGCCATCAGGTTTTACGGATCCTGAGAGCAGAAGGTGATTTACCGGCTGCTCTGCGGGCTGCGGCCATCCGTGCCGGCCGGCACTGCCGCACGGCGCTCCCTTCCCCGCGGTTCCCAGCACCGCTCCGCTGCTCCCATCTCAGCATCGCTTAAAATCCCAAATCCCAACCATCAGCGGCACAGCCCCCGCCCCGCGCTTAACACCCTGGGGTTTGGCTAAGTGTGAACCTCGAGTTTGCAGCTGATGGGATGAGTGGAGCATCAGTCTTTGAGCAAACCCAATTCTGTTCTTCCCTCAGGTGGCAGAAGTACTGCAAGTCCTCCAGGTAAGACCTGCGCGGGGGCCTCCCGCAGCCGAAGCGAGCCGGTGGAAACCGGGGAGGGGGGAGATGCTGCTTTGGGCCAGCCTCGCCGCTCCAGCGGGTGCATGGCGAAGCTTTGCGGAGCAGCAAAGAATCAAAGCTTTAAAATGAAGAGGGGATGCGATAAAAGTTCGGGTGGTGGCAGGAGGAGATGCGGGACAGATGGCTGAAGCTTTGTGGGGAGTTTTGCTCGGTAGGTTTTGAGGGGAGGCTTGGCCAAGCCCCATCCTCCACGTCCCCTCGTGCAGAAAGCCCCCATCCAAACCCCGCAGCCTTCCCAGGACTCGCTTGCTCTGGGCTCACGCAGTGAGTTTATATCTGGCTCTACCTTCTGCTCAAGAAACTTTTCACAGCTGGGGAAGCCTTGCCAGAAACACTTCTCCCGGCTGTTTTGCTTCACAAGTAAACGTGATTGGGGAGCGGGCCAAGCTGGAATTGCTGGAACAGGGATCTTGCTTTGTGGCCGGGGATAGTTTAAGCGTATTCCTTTGGATTCCTGGATGCAAACCACATGAGGCTCTCTCTCCTTTTTCAAAGGATCTTTGGGTTCGTGGCCAAAAGCCAGACAGATTCGGAGAACCTCTGTCACCTGTTTGCAGAGTACGACGCTGTGCAGCCGGCATCGCTTGTCATCGACCTTCTCTGCAAGCTCCTGCTGGCCCCGTAGAGGACAGAAACCCCGGGACAGCTCCGGGCTGGCAGCTGCCCACATGCTGCTCACCTTCTCCTGCTTCTGGGTTGCATTTTGGCAACAGCTCATATTTATATTTTTTTTATTACGTGCCATCATCTCAAGAGTCTCAGTTAAACGTTTTATGCTCTGGCGGGATGAGATGTTCCTCCGAGACCCTCCACGGGGCAGCGCTTGCCGCAGCGGCCGGC